TAAAGGTTGCCAGATGGTTTAACCAAAAATACTGAACATGCCTCCCCGTCTCCCCCGTCCCCCCAAAAAAAACACAGAGAAAAAATTCTGTTGAGAAAAAAAAAGGGGGGAGACCAAAGTTCTTAAGAAAAAAAAAGACCCCAAGACTTATTAAGCAAAAGAAAAGAAAAGAAAAGAAAAGAAAATCCATCATGGGCCCTTTAAGAAATGCTTATGAGGTTCTTTGGCCCTAACAGGCTGCCAGCAGCCATACACTATCTTGTCTTCCTGCTTTGGGCCAGACAGCTCCCCTGCAGAACCAGGTAAGCACCCGGTATTTTCACCTCCTGGCTGGGAAAAAAATCAGAAAATGCTGGACCCCCATCCGAACCCCCAGGCCAATCAGGTGAAGTCTCCTCCCACCCTGCAAGGGTCTCAGCACTTAAAGTCAACCACCAGCTGCTGCTCAGTGGGCAGTTGACTCTAAGTGCAGTGCTTTCTTGCAAGGCTGGGGCAGAGAACGAGAGACTTCACATGCTCCCCCTCCTCAGGCCCTGATTGACCTGGGGGCAGCAGGGGTGCACACATGAAGTCTCCTTCCACCACCAGGGGCACAGGTACCAGCTGTTCAGAACAGCTGGCGGTTCTCTCCGGGAGAGGGGGGGGACAAGACTTCGTGCACTTCCCCACCCTCAGACCAATCAGGGTCTGTGGATGGGGAAGCAGGAAGTGTCCTGGCCCTGCCCCTTCTGCTTGAGGCCCCACTCCTTCCAGGGCAGCCCGGGGCCACTTCAAGAATTTCTGAAGTGGCCCCATCAAAAATTATTGCCTACCCCTGTGCTAGAACTTGCAAGCTTTGAAGCAAGGACCTGAAACATAGAAATAGTGGAATCTGGCTGAAAGTCCTTGTAATATTCATTACAGGTGAATTACACCCAAGTAGAACTAATAGATGACTAAATTTGGGGAAGATAAGTTGTGTACTTTTCAGACTGGGGTTGGGCAAATATATTTTGGGAATGACTGAAGGACCAGGAGAGTATGTATTGACCATGGGAATAAAGGCTGGTTCCATGATTAGATAGTGTCTATGATTTAGTAACCCTATGTTCAGTTCCCTGCTTTGCCAGATATCCCATGTGACCCTGGGCAAAACACTTAGGCCAGTGGTTCCCAACGCGGTGCCCATGGGCGCCATGGTGCTCACCGGGCCATTTCTGTGCGCCCGCCGAATGATCGGGGCCACCCCTGCCCCTGGGCACGTGGTGCATGGGCGGTGCCAGCCCCTGGGCGTGCAGCGTATGGGTGGCCTCGCCCCTGGGCGCGTGGCGCAAGGGCTGTGCTGGCCCCTGGGCTTGTGGCGTACGGGTGGTGCCAGCCCCTGGGCGCGCGGTACATGGGCTGCACCGGCTCCAGGTGCATAGCACATGGGTGCTGCTGGCTCCTGGGCGTGGGGCACAGGAGCGGCGCTGGCCCCAGGAGTGCAGCACATGGGTGGCGCCAGCACCTGGCATGCAGCGTATGAGTGGCCCCAGCCCCTGGGCACGCAGTGCAGGAGTGGTGCCGGCCCCAGGCATCTTGTGTAAGAGCATCCATGGAGTGTGGAATAGTGATAGAGATGCAGCCGTGTTAGTAGCACTTTAAAGACTAACAAGATGGTTTATTAAGTGATGAGCTTTCATGGGCCAGACCCACTTCCTCAGATCAATATGTGGAAGAAAATCAGCACAACCATATATACCAAAGTGATACAATCAAAAAAATTAACGCATGTGAAATTGACAAATCGAATTTTAGAACAGAGTGGGGATGAGAGGGGAAGGTAAGTTTCTGTGAGGTAATGACATAGGGGTGATAATAGGGGAAGTTTCTGTGAGGTAATGACATTAGGGGTGATAATTGGGGAAGCTATATTTGTAATGGGTGAGATAATTAGAGTCTTTGTTTAAACCCATACATAAAGTGTCAAATTTAAGCATGAATGACAATTCTGAAGCTTCTGAAGAATCCCAGAATCATACTGCTGACTCATATTTAGCTTGTGGTCCACTATGACCCCTAGATCCCTTTTTGCAGTACTCCTCCCTAGACAGTCACTGCCCATTCTGTATGTGTGAAACTGATTGTTCCTTCCTAAGTGTGGAGTACTTTGCATTTGTCCTTATTAAACTTCATCCTATTTAAACTTCAGACCATTTCTTCAATTTGTCCAGGTCATTTTGAATTATGACACTATCCTGCAGATTAGTCGCAACCCCTCCCACCTTGGTATCATCTGCAAACTTAATAAGCGTACTTTCCATACCAATACTGCTCCTGTGCTGTGCACCCGGGGCTGGCACAGCCCATGTACCGCGCGCCCGGGGGCAGGGCCGCCCATGTGCTGTGCGCCCAGGGGCTGGCACCACCCATACGCCGCGTCCCCGGGGGCGGGGCCACCCATACACTGCACTCCCAGGGGCCGGCACCTCCCATGCACAGCCAGATTCCATTGTTTCTATGTTTCAGGTCCTTGCTTCAAAGCTTGCAAGCTTTAGCACAGGGGTAGGCAATAATTTTTGATGGGGCCACTTCAGAAATTTTAAAGGTGCAATGACCCTTTTTTTGGTGCGGGTTTTTTTTTTTTTTTTTGGCTCAACCAATTTTTTTCCTGCTATGTTCAGTATTTTTTGTGAAAGTATCTGGCAACCCTAATTGCCTCCCTACTGGGTACATCACCAAGGCCGGAGGTGTGTGTGTACTGATTCCTCCCCATAGGATCATTTGCAGGAGCAAGTGGTGACATGCATCCAGGTCAGTTTCCCCAAGTGAGCTGTGTAAGAGGGCAGGAGAGTTGCTCTCCATACCTCAGGGCACAGCACAGCTGGGAAAACTGTCTTGGAAGCATAGATAGCTTGGTGTTGCTGTTCCCCTCCCAACCTCTAGGGGGCACAGAGAAATGTTGCACAAGGTCAGGTGCTCTGTGCAACCAGGTCTGTTTCCCCAATGGGGCTGCCTAAAAGAAGGGCAGGACAGCAGCTCCCGACCCTCACAGCAGAGTTCCAGCTCGGGGCCATGTCAGTTTTACTAGCTTATAAGCAGGGGCGGCCAGTCCATATAGGCGAACTAGGCGGTCGCCTAGGGCGCCAAGTTAAATGGGACGCCAAATGGAGGTGCAATATCATTGAGAGGTTTGGAAGTGGGGGCGCCGATTGCATGGTTTGCCTAGGGCGCCAGTTATTGGCAGCCAGCCAGACTTGCCCCAGAAACGCGGGCCTCAGGACATAGGGGCCACATTCTAACCTGCATGGGAAGCTGCTTCCTGAGCACCCGTGCAGCACACAGCACTGACTGTCCAGCCCCCAGTAGGGAGAGTGAACAGGGAAGGTTCACTGGGAGGGGAACATGCAGAGGCAGCTGGGCCAAAGGAGCAGGTTGTGCATGAGCAATGGGTGTGTGTGGGGGGGTGGGCGTGCCCACACACTGCATGTTTGTGTGTCTCTAAAGTGACAATGATTCAGTTGCCTGAAAGAGTTTGGCGCTGTTTAGTCAAGAATGTGTTTTTATGCTGATGGTGCGTTTCAAGTGGCAGTGGTAAACATGACAAAAAATAAGGATTAAGTAACAAACGCCATTCGACGTACACTGTAATTTAAGCACCACAACCACAGCTGGTCAATCCGGAAGTGACACCTATCCCTATTAATTGTTAACATTATTGAGAGCCCGGTTACGCCTACGGCTCCCCAATTGTTTAGAGGCTGCAGGAGAGCCTGGGGAGAAAGAGCGGGAAGCGCTGGGGACCCGGGCGGTAGCCCAGACAGGCTGTTGGCGCGGTGTGAAGCCTGGAAAAGGAAGCGCGCAGCAAGTGTCGCGGTAACCCCGCCAGGAGTGTTGCAGCGCCAGGGCGGCACGATACTGCGTGGCCGGGGGCACCTAAGTTCTGTGAGTGCAGAGCGTCCG